TATTTCCCTTCTGACCGATCGCTGCTATCTGTCGCATTCGTCACATGCGTCACATGCGACTGATCGGTCGCATGCGATGGATGCGACAGATGTGATCGACCCCTTTTTCTGAATTTGGTGATGGACCCCAACCGGCAAGGGTCCATTCAGGTCTCACATTTCTCTTCGACTCAAGGTCAAGTTCCACGAGACAAGGTCAAACCACCGGGATCGAAGATGCATGGTCCATACATTGGTAAGTATCAAAGGGTCTTACATTTATCCTTTTCAACTTTAATTCCATTTTTATCCTCTTCGATATTTACTATTTTATGGCAATTACAGTTAGGTGTTTCAGACTTTTCATTCTTATTAGTTCCTTCGGCCATAGGTTTTATATTAATAAGCCTCTGATGATCTATCCTGATTTGCTCATTATTCAAACCAGCTGGGTCTTCCTTTTTCGAACACCATCCAAGTGCTTTAGGATCATCCTTTTCAACTTCAATTCCAATGATTGGTGCCTCTTCTTTGGTGTCAGCAGGTTCTTTTGGGTCATTTAGGATCAACAGTCCATCAGAATTACCTTTCTCAGCCTTCTTCAAATATCATTCAGGTGCTTTAGGATCATTCTTTTCAACTTCAATTCCAATATTCAGTACCTCCTTTTTGGCATCAGTGGGTTCTTTTGGGTCATCTAGGATCAACAGTCCATCAGAATTATTCTTCTTAGTCCTCTTCAAATACTATTCAGATGCTTTAGGATTGTTCTTTTCAACTTCAATTCCAATATTCAGTGCCTTCTTTTTGGCATTGGTGGGTTCTTTTGGGTCATTTAGGATCAACAGTCCATCAGAATTACTCTTTTTAGCCCTCTTCGAATACCATTCAGGTGTTTTAGTATCATCCTTTTCAACTTCAATTCCAATATTCGGTGTCTTCTCTTTGGTGTCAGTGGGTTCTTTTGGGTCATTTAGAATCAACAATCCATCAGAATTATTCTTCTCAACCCTCTTCAAATACTATTCAGGTACTTTAGAATTGTCCTTTTCAACTTCAATTCCAATATTCAGTGCCTTTTTTTTGGCATCAGCAGGTTCTTTTAGATCATCTTGGATCAACTTTTTGAACCTATCAACCTGTCTATTTTAATCTTCACAGGCTTGGTTTAAGTTTTCCAACATGATACATTAGCGACTTTGTACATCAAGGTTCTTACATTTGGTATTTTCAATTCTAATTTTATTGTTTATATCCTTTTCAACCTTGGTTTCATTATTGTCTTCATTAATTATCATATTAGCATCATTGTTACCATTATCATTATCATTATCACCATCATCATTATCAGCATCATCAGCTTCATCATTAGCAGGTTCAAACTTACCTTTTGCAATCTTAGGATGGCTTCTAAATATTTCATTTTTATCTTTATATTTTATTTTATTAGGTTCTTGATAATAAATAGGTGCCTCATATTCTTTCTTCTTAACTTTGATTTCAGATCTAGCATAATATGCACTATCAGCATTTCCTCTTTCTGCAGGTTCTTGATAATGTTCAAAAGCTTTATGTTCATTCTTTTCAACTCTGATTTTATAATAATATTCAAGGTTATTTTGTCTATTTAGTGCAGATTTGGGTTCAGGCAACCAGAACTTCAGGGCTTTAAGGTAATTATTAGTCAACTTTTCTAAGATTATTTTAATGTCTAATTTAACATCTTACTCTTATTTTAGGCTTTTTTATTTATTGTCATTATAAGATACTTCTGGGATAGAATATGGTTCAAAAGCTTCGATTGGTTTTTTATGACAGGACTTAGTTGGATAAATTTTGCTAGTTCATTTTAGACTCCTAGAGATTCAGAGGTTTTTTTGATAGCATATATCATGAGGATGGTTATCCAGAGCAGGCATTGCAGATACTTTAACATATGAGGGTAGATATATGATTTCTTCTGTTTTATCTTTATTATCTAAAGATATGTTTTTTAATATTATTAATATAATTTCCAGGACCTGAGAAATTTGTCTTGTATCAAGGCTTCGATCATCAAAGGTTCTGTTGATAATTTGTTGAACCTCTTGGGCTTGTTTGTTAGTAAGTGATTTGAATAGGCTAGTATACTTCTTTTCTAATGTTTTAACTTTTGGCATTTACTAACAATATGTTTTCTGGTTTTACAATTGGAACATCAAGCTTCTTTTTAGAGACTTCTTTGAGTTTATTTATAGCTTGGAACTTTTTGAAGATGGGTCTTTCTTATTCTACCTTCTAGTTTCCAAGACATTAGGTAAGTTCTATACATTTTTTTCTTTTCTTTCTTCATTTGGTCTTTTTCTTCTAACTTCTCTTTTTTTATTCTATAGATTGGTTTGACATTCTGATGTAATAATTAGGGTCTTGAATGTGTTTCGATTTAGGCATTAATTGTAATAAGTCTTTCATTTATCTGTTCTAGTTGTTGATATAATTCTTCCATATTATCAACATTTCTAATCTTATTTTCTTTCTATTTCCTCAACTATCACACTTCTTCAGATAATTGGGCACAAGTCACTACAGCTGATCCTAGTACTTTAGGATACCACAGCCAAACAGGGTAACAGTAATTAAAGGTAGCAATGTTTCAGATATCACAGTCATCACCAAATTGTTAACAGGAAAAGACCATCAGGTCAGTAGCTCCAAAATTAGATACATCATATAATCACTTGAGTTAATATCGGTTGAAAGAGACATGTTAGATTTGGCAAGTGGTTAATGGGATTCTAATCAGATTCTCTTAATGAAAAGGAGATTTTGGGTTGGTTATTAGGTAAGTATATTGACAGAAGTTAGTGTTTACAGGTTAGAGACAGATTATGTATTAGCAAATGTATTATTTTATTTGTCAAGGATGGGAATTGTTTTTCCCAAAGGACCTTTTGGCCTTTATTTATAATTGTAAGATTCTATTTACATTGTGTGATGGATACGACTAATATCTTTGATACTACTGATCAGTTATATTCTACTGATATTTCTCTTCTGACCGATCACTGCTATCTGTCGCATTCATTACATGCGTCACATGTGACTGATCAGTCACAGGCAACAGATGCGACAGATGCGATTGACCCCTTTTTCTGAATTTGGTTCCACAATGGATGAGAATAAGCCAAAACGATACGAGAAAGAAAATAGTAAAATAAATACCAGTAGATAGACAATGAAATAATTCTAGCAATGATGAAATATTGCTTAGATAATGTATGTACACATGAGTGTTATTTAAATAATTTTCAATAACATATAATATATTATACAGAAAAATGCCTTTGAAGCTATTTAAACTTCTTCAGCAAATAAGAAATGATTGAAAAACATCGAACCAAATTTTAAACCAATCGACAAATAGTTAATAGTTTATAAAACTTGAAAAAAATGAATGAAAATCTGAATAAAACAATGCATATTTTATCTAGAATGATATCGAGGTTGGTATTTTTGTATTCTATTTCTATATTGAGAATCTAGTTCATTGCTTTAATGCTCTATTGGGTATTTTAATATTAAGTGTTACTAATTTTTATAATTATAAGTAAATTTAACATTTTAACATAATAATATATACTGTATATTTGATAATTGAAACGATATGTTTATATGTAAGAAAAATGCCATTTATCAATCGTAAACATTATGTAATTTTTTTACAAGCACAAATGATGTGGTGACAAATAATTGTAAAATAGTCAAATACAGTTATTAAACAGAGTATATTTACAAATACAAGTGACTCTTGATAGAAAAAACTTTTGATATAAGATTTGTAGATCCTAATGAAAAGCCTGTCAACGAAGTGACAGGGCAATCATTATTGCGAGATCAGATGACTTTATGACCGATCACGTACAGGTTTTGTTATGTATCCTTTTATGGTTATTCTTTGATTATTGTCGTGAGATTTTGTAACTTGTTTTTTATAGGTAATTTTAGATTGCATATGATTTTGATATTCACATGGTTATGATTATTGTTAGATCGATAGTGGGGGTAAGGGATAATGACTGTGGCCAAGTATGAACCAGTGATATGGGAGGAGTATTTAAGGCCAAGAAATTCAGTAGAAAAGGTTATCTTTCTTTTCGCTATCGCTCGCCTTGTAAAGGCTGGCTCTATCTCCCTCCCTTACCCACCCGAAATCAAGTAAGCAGTATTGTTTCTTTTGTTGTATCAGGCTCCACGGCTGCATTAGCAGTGCAAGGACCTGTAGTGTACCTGGCTCCACGGCTGCAAGTGGCAGTGCAAGGACCAGAGGTAGTTTGGATCCATGGCTGCGAGGAGCAGTGCAAGGACCAAATGTTGTATTTGGCTCCATGGCTGCAAGTGGCAGTGCAAGGACCAGTTGTTGTAATGTCTCCACGGCTGTAAGTGACAATGTAGGGACCATAAGAATGGACCTCGATCATTTCAGCAGAAACATAGTTACCGATTCTCTTTTCAGCTATGAGAAGACTCAATGATTCTCGCTGAGTGAAGGTATGCTGATCCGTGAATGGTTTCGGATCGTCTCTGTACCTGTGGGGCAGACAGGACACTATGGGTGTCTTTTTGCATTTGTTGTGTGATGAATACATGTCGCTATGATGGAAAATGTAATCGTGTATATTAGAGCCAATAAGGGTAGCGAGCCCTTATCCCATATGTTCTTCAGATTTTGTAAATAAAGTCATTCAGTTTTTTGTATAAAGTCAGCTGA